TTTGAATGTCAAAGATATACCGCTCACATAAGTGTGGTCTTTCGACATTATCATTCTATGAATATCACTTTAAATCAGTATCAGTAAATATCAGTCTCACCCAATCCATAATTGCTATATTCATTCTCATTTCGAAGGTTGTAGTAGTGAAATGTATCCTCATAGGGAGATAAGTGAGTAGATGATGATTGAAAGACTCCACCCAAAATGAATCCCGACACTGCAAAACATTATAAAGTAATGTAGTCTAAAAATACTTACCAAACAGTATGATTCAGCATTTACATATCAAGGTTTGCTTCAACATCCTAGTGTATGCGTCCACTGCATTGGGGTCAGTTATTAACTTCTTTGATGGTGCATACCTAGGACGTCTACAGCTAGATGACTGATTGCAGTTGGAGTGATTACCCTATCACATATATACATACATGTATATGAACATTGTGATAATTATATCTAACTGGATAATGATCAACAATATTTGTTATTGAGTCTCTCAGATTCTCTGGAGACTTACTGTAGTTCTTCATACTGTAATACAGATGTGTCTTCGCACTCTTTCCTATGATACATGTAATCATATTATTTTCCATTGTCCCTCACTCTGATCTGACAGTTCTGGATACCAAGTTATACCTGCCCTTTTTTTGCTCCTGTTGCTATAGATGTCATTGCTTTTGCTACATTCTTAGTCCCTACAAGTATACAGAAAGAAAAAAGTAAAACTAGCTACATACCATACCATGTGTCATTAGAGTTTTTTAGCTTTAACTCTTCAACAATATATGATGTTACTGGCGGCGAATTGTCATGAGCTACCTCTGTAACATTGAATCCTATTTTCAAATTTGATTAAACAATTCAATTCATTAACTTCTTTCAGTACCTTTTGATATTACTATTGGCAATACTTCTTTAGAACAGGCAAGCTCCCTTGTCTATGCGCAAGTGTGGTCTTTTCTGGAATGTGTCACAGCCTACAATCTTGTGAATACTGAAAAATTGATGTACAATGTGAAGTAAAATACCACTACAAATACAAATACCTTCCAGAAAGACACGGCACAGTTGTATGGTAGGCATTAGCAGTTGAGTCATGCCTAGCATCAGTGATGACCCACTACAATGAATTAAATAATGTACCACTATTAATATACTGTAACTCTCCATCAGTCTCTTATTCAGAGGTTGACTTGATTTTATCAATTGCCTTCATCATTGATGCTTCAGCACAACTTTCAATAGCAGTACATACCGCTTTGACTTATATACTATAGTAAATATATTTACAATGCTACAGTGAAGTACAAAACTAAATTACCTGAATCAGTGTACCTTTTCCCAACTATACCAAGCGATTCCAATCTACAGAAATGGTGATATTGTGATGGGAGCATTCCAGCACAAGTAAACGCATGTATGAGCCTAAAGTAATATTAATGCCATTACTTTGTATTTACACTTTATGCTTACTTCTGATTAATTATGTATCTACTGCCTAATAGACTTGAGCTGGCCCACCATTCCTTTCGATTGCATGAATGACATTGAAATTCAGCACAAATTACGTGACCGAACTATAACAATAATAACAATAAAAGTAAATTATGAAATAATACTTTAAGGTACTTTCCCATGAAATTTAAATATTTTTTAAATTGATGCCATTTTATAGGAAATAAAAAGTTGTACAACTTGTGCTATTTTGAAATTTTTACCATGCAATGTTTAGAAGTTATAGATCATTGAACTTTAAGTATTAAAAAAAAATTCCTGCGTAACTTGTCATACCTTATGAACTTACCTATTGTAATTACTAAGCAAATTCATTTCCCTTTTTTCATTGTAGATTCAGTTGCAGTTGAAGCTGATATTCTCATTTGCCTTGTGTACAGTGGCATTTGTCGGACATGGATTTTAACATATAAAAAACCGGCAATTTTTCATTTTATTGATTGCATGTCATAACACTACTTTTTTCTATTACCTGATGGAGTTTTGTTATTATTAATAATTTTGTTCATTTTGTAGTGATTTTTAAAGTGAAATTTCAAGAAAGTTAAAGCATTAATGTTTAGCAATGAATGTAGTTATTGCACTAATGAATATACTTACATTAACTATGGATATCATTAATCTTATGAATATAGTTTAATCTGACGTCATCCCACATGCTAATGCGGAAGTCACATGACTTCTGTGAGTATGTTCATGGCTTTTGGCTGCAAAAGGGGTGGGTGTGCTATGTCACTGAATTAAAGATGGCCGTCAGTCCTGTTTGATTCCCTGTTAGCTCCTCCTCTTTCAGCTGTACGAGCACGCACGTGTATGCGCGTATG